CTTCCCCAGCGGTGGGACAATCACTCATTTAGGCCCCTCACACCCCCCTCAGTCACCTGGCTACAGCAGTCGGCCGGTAGGTTCTTGATGAGGATCTTCCTCCGGTTCTCCAGCTCCCGGCGCGTCTCCTCCAACCGCCTCGTCATCTCCCCGGGCTCCATTATCGGCACCCCAGGGGGCCCGTATCCCCCCAGTCCCGCGGGAGAGCACAGGAGTAGCTCGGTGCCCAGCGCCGCCATTTTGCTGCGGCTGGTTCGGTGGGAGTGCGGTGTGTGCTGAGAGGCTGAGGCCCCGCCCACAACCCCGCCTCCTCATCCATATCTCCGCCTCCTCTCCCTCCCTCCTGTCACCCCGTGCCAAGCTCTCCTCACCTGAGAGCCTGTGGTTGGCGCTCCTCCCCCTTCTCACCTGTCACTTCCCGCCTCAGCTGAGGCGTCCTGTGTGACGGAATCCACATCCCTCGCTGTACACAGCCACTGCTCCTGTGAGCGCCATGAGCCACATATCTAATGAGAACGTCACTGTTGCATTGTAAAAAGTGAATTTTACTGTTATGCACGTCACATTTCTGTGAAAATTAGTGTCAAATAGAGAAATGAAACTGATTTTACCTCAGCGTTCCTCATATTTCTATATACATCTGTGTTTTATGGAGGAATAAATATTGCTTTACCTCAGAGCCTATGATAATTTGATGTATAATGGTCCCATATAGAGAGATAAAAGGGTCTTTATTTACCTCAGTGTTTGTGTAGTTCTATGAACATCTGTCCCATAAAGAGAAATTAAAATAATTTTATTTTTAATGCCAATGAAACTTTAATGTATAATAATCTGATCCACATAGAGACATTCAGATCGTTTTACTTTAATTTTGCAAGAGGTAGGCAACTGCAGCCCTCCAGCTGTTGCAGAACTACAAGTCCCATGAGGCATTGCAATATTCTGACAGCCACAGGCATGGCTCCCAGAGGCAGATGCATCATGGTATTTGTAGTGTCACCACATCTGGAGGGCCAGAGTTGCTTACATATGGCACATTCGAATAAAAAGCGCAACATTTGACATGAATAGATGGTCCTTGAACTGCAGACAAATAATAGGACATGCTGCGTCTAGAAAAATGCAGCACAAAGAAGGTTCAGTCAAATGCAGCCTCTGAACTGCCATGTGTATTGTTCAATGAAAGTCAGGTGGGGTTTTCCTGACGTGTGGTGCGTCGCCATTCATTTTCAATGGGCTGCTGAACGCAGCACGCAATGTCACAACGCGCCCCAATGGAAAAGTCTCAGGGCTCATTCACACAATATATGTTGAGCTCAGAGGCATCCCCAGGCCGGGTGTCACCCGGCGAGACATGATGTCATCACATATCTCGGTGATGGACGCTGGCAGAGAGGGTATGTGACGTTCATCCGGTGGCTGATCTCCCCTCCGATCACTGAAAGCGGAAGCCATGTGTATTACATAATTTCCAGGTACCGTCTGCCATTTCTCCGGTTGCCGGGTAAGAAGGCGATGAAACATGATCTGTCTGATGGCTTCTATAGGTGACATTAGAGGGTTAATAGAAGATGACCTGTCACATCCTGTTTGCAGTCACATAGCAATAAAGTAAAAAAAAAAAAAAATAGAAGACATGGACAGCAAAAAAATTAGTTTTCTAACTAAACAAATGAAAACGAAAAACATTTCCATTCGTTTCACCAAATAAAACAAATTTTTCTGCTCTTTCGGTGGCAACGAGCCTCCAAATCCAAAACCGCACACTGAAAATGCAGAAAGAGTGGCGGCCAGATTGGCCGACGGCGCGTTCTGTGCTTGCGTGCCACCATCTTCGAGTATATGTTCGGGCCCTGCCATCTTGGTGTATACCAAGATATACTCAAAGATGGTGGTACGCCCGCACCGTGTGTTCTGCAAACGAATTTATGTATGCCCCAATATAGTTGTAGTATATTCGGGCATATAATAAATTTGTTATTTCGGATTCGGACAAACTGCCGAATCAAAAAAATTCCCCGTCCCTCGCGTACTCACACATACAAATGCAAACACGCGTCAGCTGTGCCTACGTGCGAAGACGACGATTGCACACATGCTACAAACCACAGCGAATGTCAGAGTGCAAGTAATACTTCTAGGGCCATCAATCACTGGTAACACTAAACTGACGAGCGGTAAAACCTTTGTTAAGAGTCGCCTATGGGCAATTTTGAGTGTTGTAGTTTATTTTTAGATTTCACAGGAGCACGCAATTTTAAGGCTTGACATGTCTGGTGCTAAAACAATACCTTGCGCTATCTCCCCTTATTGTGAAACAATTGAATATGACCCCTAAATCTCCAAATAGACCATAAAACAACCCCAAAACACACCTATATACACCGTATATTAAGCGTACACATAAAATACAATAGTTATGGTGCAAAAAATATTAAACAATGTGAAATAATGTGTGACTCATTAAAGGAGAACTATGGGGTTAAGGCTTTTCCCCATAGTTCTCCTTAGGGTAACGGGAGGAGACAAATTAGCGTCCTCCCGTCACCCTAGGCTCAGAGACGCCGCAGGAGCGGCGTGACTGACAGCTGGCTCTGCCTATCTAGAGGCAGAGCCAGCTTTACCCGCCCCCTCCCCTGTCCATTCCCCCAGTCAGCGCTGGCGGACCGGAGCGGGGAGGGGGGAATACAGCCCCTCCCGTCACGGCAGTGAGTCGTGACAGGATCGAGAGGTGAGCGAACGCCGGTATGTGTTCGCTCACCTCCCGATCTACTGAGCCGACCTGTGACAGTCTCATTGTCACAGGTCGGCTAGAACTATGAGGTGAGTGAAAAGCACCCCCCTCATAGTTCTCCTTTAATATTCGAAGATATGCAAATCAATCAGCATAAATCATCAAACAATGTGACTAGTGTGTACATAAATAAAAGACGATCAATAATAAAATATATAAGTATATAAATATCTAAAGTCCATATAAATTACAAAACTTCATCCGATCCTCACAGGACAAAGATGAGTCGTGATCAGTTCAAACAGTGATGAAAAAATGTATATGTGTAATCCTATAATCCCAATCCGAAGAAAAAACAATGCTCCCCACTCACCAGATTCAAATGGTTAAATCGCATTGATCACAGGACGCTACTTTCGCCAACCAAGTAATGGCTTCCAAACATGTCTGGTGTCATGTCTGGTGTCATGTCTGGTGTCTATTTACCCGACACGACCCCGTATTTTATGTGTTACCCCCCAAAAAATTGGGTAATGTATTCTGTTTTCACTAAAATTCAACTTAGTGTATTTTATCCTAAATATATTGGTTTGATAAACATTTGTGCAAATATTGTGCAACAAAAAAAAAATTGCAACCAGCATTTCATTCTACAGAGCCTCTGCTTTCGGGAAATATGTCATTGTTTGGGGGGTCTGAAGCCGTTTTCTAGCCAAAAATGAAGAAATTGCTCCGGAGACAGGGGCGTCCCGAGGCTGGGTGTCATGTCTTATTGACGCCTGCCAGGGGCCATCTTGGTGATGGACGGCGGCAGAGAGAGGAGGGGACGTTCGCCCAGCGGGATGAGGTATGCCACCGGGTTCCCTCCTCTCTCCCTGACACTGTCGGGCTCTCGGTTCACGACTGAGTGCCCAACGTTTCAGAGGGGGTGACACCAAAATGTCAGTCATTTTGGTGTCACCCCTCCAATGGTGGCACCCGGGTGCGGGCCGCACCCCCCATGTGACGCCACTTGGTTAATAACGCATGGCTATGCCCACACTTGTAGTGCATTCATACTTCTCCTATCGCTGTAACTGAAAGTGCAGACAGGGACAGGAGGAAGAGTCTGCGAGTGCCAGAGCATTGCACCTATCATCGGTGGATCACTGTTGTAATGCTTTACTGGCAAACAAAAATCATAAATGCACTTTTTTTTTTTTCTTTTAGGAACGTGTGAGAATGTTTTATTATTATTTTTGGAATAGGTGGACTTTGCCTGGAAAGATGAAGGTCATTTTACCTCGCTGTACATCTGCCCCATATAGAGAATTTAAAAGGATTTTCCTTTTCTTAACATCAGGACGCATGACAATTCTACAGTTCCATATAGAAAAACGTGTCTAATTTGATCTCAGCACGTGTCACATTTCAATAGATCCTACAGATGGAAAAAAATAAAGATCTGTTTACCTTCAGGGCACATGACATTGGTATGGAAATCTGCCCCATTTACAGCTCGCTGAGCTGCGGCGGATGAGAACCTGTTTTTCAGAAATGTGTCCCAATTCCGTAAGTAAACAAGTGCAGAAAAATGCGCATTATTTTTTTGCTGTACGGTTCGTCATTCCTGCGGCCTGGGAGAGGGAATTATTGTGCTGAAATGTGTCTTTTACTTCATAGAAGACGAACCTCATTTATTCCTATGTCCCAGATACTGAAATAACGGCTGGACGCATTGAGGTGGAATTTATCAATACCGGAGCAGGCGGAATCTGGAGCAGTTGTTCATGGCAACCAATCAGCATTCACCTTTCATTCTCAAACCTTAACTGAACAAACTGAAAAAAGAAGCTGATTGGTTGCCATGGGCAACTGCTCCAGATTCTTCTGCTCCAGTTTTGATAAATTCCCCCCATTATGTACTGTGGGGAGGAAAATGGGTTTAACTTCTCAATTTGGAAGATTTGTTGTCCGCACACCATTCTGTATTCCTTTAACATTGGACACTTTGCCTGACGAGGGGGCCCTGTGAGCCTCTGAAATGTTGCATCCATGTGTCAGACTAAAGGAATATGAATAAAGATCATATTCCAAAGCAGAATGGTGTACGGACAACATATCTTCTAGACCAGAGGTTCTCAACCTGTGGGTCGGGACCCAAAAGTGGGTCACAACCCACAGTTAAGGGGGTCCACACGTGCCTTGTGCTGCTCTAGGTAAGGGGCTCCTCAGCCTCCTCCTGGGGTGGCAGTGTCAGTTCTCCTAGGTGGCGCTGCAGCGGCCGGAGAGGATCAGAGAGAGGGGAACAGGCAGGAGTGAGGGGAGGTGAATGCTCGATCACCATAGAGCCCACAACTGGGCACTACAGAGCCCGCACTGGACGCCACCAGAGAGTCCCACTAGCCACCTGAGAGCCCACACAGATACTAGTATTGGTGCATCCCTAAATTTTACGGTTGGGGGTCACCACAACTTGGCAAATGTTACCAAGGGGTCCCGGCCCTAGAAAAGTTGAGAACCACTGTTCTAGACCCTTGGTTCTCAACTGCTGGGTCGTGACCCTGTGTTCAATGGGTCGC